ACGAACAGAAACTAAAAACAAGCTGTCATGAAGGGGTTAAAGGCACCAAGTGACAGACTTACGCATATCCTAATAGCAAGGTACCGCCACAAACCTCCGAATATATTCACAATTAAAGCATATAAAATCACACAGAAAACATGATTAAACAACTCCTATAGATATTAGACAAAGGAAATTGATGGGTATTTTATAACACCATTGGCGATAGCTCTACATGAGTATAATTGAAAACATAATATATAGTAAACAAAAGGCAAAATTTAATATTCTCCAAATCGTATGTGTGAAAACAGCTTCATCTGAAGATGTACGCGTTTCGTGCACCAAGCGCTTCCTCAGGAGGTGGAGGAGATCCAGCAAAGAGTTGATGCGCATGTATCCGACGGGACCAGCCAGAGCAGAACAACCCAAAGCCCGAGAGATCAGATGAGGACCAAACCCCAGAAAAGGCTGGAATGGGAGTGATAGTGAAACGGGAATCCTTATGCGGCATCCCAATCTATTCCTGTTCGACCGGCTCCATCCGAAAAAAGATGGCGCAAGCCAAAATGATATCAATCCCATAGCCGTTGGTGTCCATGATGCTGCCAAGCAGCCGCGTCCTTAATCATGCATATACAGTGTTTCCCCCGAAAATAAGACAGTCTTATATTTTTTTTTGCCCCAAAACACACTAGGTCTTATTTTATTTTTTTATGTGCAACAAAATGGTCAGTATCTTTCACATGCCAAGTGCATCTGGTATCAGGGCAGGTTCACACCATTTTCCGGACCAGACCTGGTCCGGAAAATAGTGTGAACGTGCCCGCAGTTCCAGAGCATTCCAGACCAGACAAAATGAGACATGCAGTATTTTTCTGGTCTGGAATAGACTGTGCTGGTGTGAAGAGAGGACAGAAATACATTAGGATGCATTTTGGGTCCACAAACAATCTGGTCTGGTATGAATGGGCCCTCACTCCGCCTGTCACAGTAACTGGCGCCGATATTTCTGGATACATTAGGATGCATTTTGGGTCCACAATCAATCTGGTCTGGTGTGAATGGGCCCTCACTCTGCCTGTCACAGTAACTGGCGCTATAGAGGAAGTATTGGCTAATGCGGCTCTGCTCCCTCCCCCGCCACAGCCTTGCTTTCTACAGCGCCGGCTTCCTTTGCCATCAGGGACAGCGGTGCAGCAGTGGGGACATCAGACAGCGCGCTAAAGTACGGAACCCTTTATCGTACACATTATTGTACCGTACCATTACATTAAGCAGTTGGTGAAGTATGGTACTGGAGTGCTCCCTGTCACTGCGCTGGCTGGAGTCCCCTGTCATCCCCTTAATACAGTATGTCCCTGCAGGCTGATACCATCTCTCCTGCTCTTCAAGTTCCCCCTCACATGCTACCACCAAACTAGGTCTTATAATACAGGAATCTTGAAAAATAGTGCTAGGTCTTACTTTCGGGGTAGGTCTTATTTTTTGTGGAAACACGGTATTGAGTGGTTTGTGGAGGTATCTTGCTATTAGGATATGCGTATCCTTCTTTTAATCTATGGTCTTTTTAGTGTTTTTGTAATAAATAAACTTTTTATAGAAAGCAAGTTGTAGTTCATTGGGTCGGTCACTTAGTGCCTTTAAAGCCCCATCTTCCTACACATTTTTTTAAGTAGAAATCTCAATTACATAGACACAATACAGTTTTTGCCAGCAGAGTGGGAAGGTTCAGAATATCTGCTGGGTTTTTATTTCTGAAGGTATCCCCGTAGGGGAGATGTGGCCCTGGTGACAACCTGTTAGGGTGAAACAATGAGAAGTGAATTTTGCTTTGAAGGCTACAAAGAAGCTGCTCTAAGACGGATGAAAGCTTTGAAAATGCTTCGTTTAAACCTGCTGTACACATTGCTTTTATACAAGCTGAGGCCCTTGTGTACAAGGCTGAAAGGACATTCAACTGAAACAAGGAAAACATGCAAGTTTTAAAGAGAACGTTTATTAACGATACAAAGCAAAGCAGGTGCATAAGCATTGTACATTTTCCCTTCAAAGGAGTCAAGATGTAGAGCAAAAATTTGTAAGTGAAAACAAAAATGCCACCTGATACAGGCAGCTTAAAGTAACAGGATAAACTCCCCCCCCCCTCCAAAAAAAAAGTAATGTCATGACACGCAATTAAATTAACAGCTGGAGTTCTCTAGATCTGCAGCACATGGAAGACATGGTTAGCTATTGCAATGTAGCTGATCAATTCTTTGGACTGCAGGATCTGATTGCACAGGCACAAGGATTATTCCAGAGTTTCCCAAAACTGTCCCTGCTTTCCATCCAGGACCCTTGTACATTGGTGTTCAGGGAGTACTTACGCTCCTTTTCAACTTGGTATCGTCTTGAGTTTACTCTGCTTCAATAAGCAACAAATAGGTTTAGCAGTTTCCCGAAAAACTATCAAAATTTTTTTTGCAACTGTGGTAGACATAAAAAAATTGCTCACTTTACCCCAATATGAATGTAATGTGATGTGATTCAATGCTGCCACATCCAGGAAGCTGCCACATGCATGTGTGAGAAGGTTTGCTTCCTAGAGAGGAAGGGGTGAGCAAAAACAAACTGGTCTGTGTGCTCACACAACTGAGAAATGTATGTTTCTGCAATATCAGCAGCCCGGCATTCACACTTGCATTTGGGGCAACCTCATGAATTCCACTGTGAGACTCAGGGGGTGTTTATGCGGAAAGCTGCGTGCGTGAATCGCTTTACAAAACAATAAGAGTGCCCATAGCCCATCACAAGTAATCTGACATGCAGTGGTTACCTGCGGATGATCATCCCTGAATGCAGTTTGCATGCAGGGGCAATCATCTGCAGGCAATCGCTGCATGTCAAGAGTACATACGAGCAGCAGTGGACGCATTCAGCCTCTCATCGGTTTGTATAGTGCTTCCATCTGCAGCAGTTCGCATTAACACTGCTAAACCTCAGAGGAGTTTGTCAGACTGTCCCAAACACAAGTGTAATGGGGT